TGCACTGTGCCGCAAGATTTTTTTATACTACGCACACTGACCACATAGACCCATTCTTTCATATATAGGCCTACCAGCTTTCTCTCACTAGATTTGAAGGCACTAGAATTTATGCATACTAGTACGGCACTAACCTTGGCGTGCAAGCCATACTAGTACGGCACCAGCCCTGAAAGGGTTAATGGAGGGTGTAGGTGCCATTTTACCAGTTTCAATCTCTAAATGGTATAGTATTACTGTATTTTGCATTATTTTGCAGGGATACTGGTGAGGGGCTCTTGATCCAAGGAATTTGACTTCTCTTTCTGTTGCCTGGATCAAATTTGAATGCCTCCCACTCCACAGGTGCTATATCACCTCTACAGATTTAGTGCTTTCCTCTGATTAACCCTTTGACTGTTTTGGTCGTATATATACATCTTAAAGCCACCATTTTTTACATACAGTAGACCGTCATTTAGCATAAGTTCACATAGCACGATTTGGGTATAGCATGATTGAAGAATTGCGGCACAATTTTATGTAACACGTCGTATGATGAATTTAACACAGTTCAGTTTGCAGGAAGGAAAAAAAAACTTCCCTGTTCCTCGAGTGGCCGCTTTGTTGTGGTTCAGCTGGGGAAACCTCTTGCCGTCCCCAGCCACCTCCCAACACTACCCCACCATCCCAGCATTCGTACTTCATACGTGTCCAGTCCAACTTCTCTGCTACAAGCTTGTGATTGTGAATTGTGTTTTGATCTTTTAATTGCTATATCTTGTATCAGCCAAGCAGTCATGACACCCAGTAAACATACCAGTGTTGCTCAAAGTGGCAAGAAAAGGTGTAAGCATTTAAGTCTTAGAATTAACAGAGGAAACAAAGATATTATACAAGACATCCTGTGGCCATAATATAGTGTTACCTTGTACACATAAAAAAGAGCTAAATATAAGTTTGTGTGACTGACTGACTGACTTACTGACTGACTTACTGACTGACCGACTTACTGACTGACTGACTTACTGACTGACTGACTGACTTACTGACTGACTGACTTGACTGATTTATTGAATCACTTGACTGACTTATTCAACGATTTGACTGCCTTACTCAACAACTTGACTGATTTACTGAATCACTTTAGTGACTTAATGAATCACTTTACTGACTTAATGAATCACTTTACTGACTTAATGAATCACTTTACTGACTTACTGAATCACTTTACTGACCTACTGAATCACTTCACTGACTTATTGAAGCATTTGACTTACTGAATCACTTGACTGACTTACTGAATCACTTGACTGACTTACTGAATCACTTGACTGAATGACTTAAAGTTAGACACTCCAGTACAACCATTGACTTCAGTACCAGAACCTCTACCATCCACCTCAGCCCAGTAGGACCACAACATAACTCTCCACTCTCTTCACAATCATCCACAAACACCAGCACCCACAATTTAAGGTAAGAAATACTATTATTTCTGTTATATTTGTAGTCTTAAGCAGTAAAAACAACATAATACATCATAACAATGAACTACAATTACATTTTCACTTTTATTTTTGTAAGATGTGGAGGCCTTGTGGAGGCGTAAAAAAAGTTGTTTGCCTTTTTTTGGGGCTCTCAGGAACGTAACTCTATTTTTTCAATAAGTTCTTCAGTTCATCTAACACGGTTTTTTACCTAACACAGTGTTTTCAGAAACGTAACTACCGTGTTAACCCTTTGACTGTCGCAGGCCCCTTTCTGAAACTGTCATTCTATGTTGATAAATTTTTGGAAAAAAAAAATTATTTTTTCTTATGAGACGATACAGAATTCTTTCCCGATGGTAATGACACCAAAAGTACGAAATTTGGTCGAAAACTGACGGAATTACGCTCCCGCAAAGTTAGCAGTCTTGGCAACATATACACATCGGCGATTTCGCTGACTTTGAGCCCTGTTTTTGGCCAATTCCATTGTTCCAGTTGACCAAACTCATAGCTATTTCTTTAGAACTCCATTTTTTCTATCTGTTGAGTGCAAGAAACCGCCCATTTACCGATTTTAACTACCCAATAAAGTGGTTAGAAATTGGCAATGTGGCCAATTTCATGCAAATTAAAAAGGATGCCAATTTCAAAATAGGGCCCAGAATAAACAATGTAGACATTCTTGGCACTAAAATAACGTATCCTCTGTTCATTAGTCAGGTCTCCAGACCCCTCTTATATTACTATTGCTTTCTATTTTGATTTTTTATTCATACAAAAAAATACAAAATTTACTGTTATGCAGACTACTGCATTATTGCAGAAATGGTATAAATAATATCAGTGCACTAGTGAAAGAATATTAGACTCCCCAGTTGATGTGTATTGGACGTGTGGTGTGATTTGCTTACTCCTGAACATTGGTAAAAATCGAACATTTCCACTACTTTGAGCTCAATTTCAAGATCGTTTTCGTCATGAAAGTAATCAAAATCATCTCTATTTCTGTAATATGTTTTCCATTTTATCACCTGAGACCATGAAAACGAGAATACAATGATAAATACTATGCGAAAATACACCTCAAAGTCGGTGTTTTAATCCAAAGGAACATTTTTTTTTTCCTCATTACACACTACGTGCTGCAGGATTTTTTTATGTGGTGCACACTGACCACACAGACCCATTCTCTCACATGTGGGCCTACCAGCTTTCTCCCGCTTGATTTGAAGCCGCTAGAATTTACACGTATAAATACATCAGAAACAGTGGTGCGTAAGACGTATATATACGACCGAAACAGTCAAAGGGTTAAATGACGGTCTACTGTATATATACTCATAAATTCTAGCGGCTTCAAATCAAGCAGGAGAAAGCTGGTAGGCCCACATGTGAGAGAAGGGGTCTGTGTGGTCAGTGTGCACCATATAAGAAAAATCCTGCAGCACGCAGTGCATAATGAGAAAAAAAACTCCGACCTTTTTTTTTTTTAATTAAAATGCCGATTTTGTGGTCTATTTTCGTATAGTATTTATGGTTGTATTCTCATTTTCTTCGTCTCATTTGGTAGAATGGAAAACATATAGAAATAGGGGTGATTTTGATTGGTTTTACTATGAAAAGAACCTTGAAATGGAGCTCAAATAGGGGAAATGTTTGATTTTTGCTGATGTTCAAAAGTAAACAAATGATGTCATTGTCCAATAAATGTCCAAGTAGCCATTCTAATATGCAGTCACGAATGGGTTGACATTATTTAAAAAATTATTACAATATTGCAGTAGTCTGCATAACAGTAAATCTTCTATTTTTTGTTTGAATAAAAATTCAAAATAGAAAGCAAGATTAATATCAGAGGGGCCTGGAGACGTGACTGATGAACAAAGAAAATGTTATTTTAGAGCCAGGAATGTCTGCATTGTTCATTCTGGACCATATTTTGAAATTGTCATATTTTTTAATTTTCGTGAAATTGGCCAAATTGCAAATTTCTGGCCACGTTATTGGGTAGTTGAAATCGGTAAATGGGCAGTTTCTTGTACTCATTCGATAGAAAAAATGGAGTTCTAAAGAAATAGCTATGAGTTTGGTCGACTGAAACAATGGAATTAGCCAAAAATAGGGCTCAAAGTGGGCGAAATCGCCGATTCGTAAATATCGCCGAGGTTGCTAACTTTGCCAGAGCGTAATTCCGTCAGTTTTTCATCAAATTTCGTTCTTTTGGTGTCATTACAATCGGGAAAAGATTCTCTATCATTTCATTAGTTTTTTTTTTTTTTTTCAACACCAGGAGACACCTCAGGATTTAGGGTTGCGACAGTCAAGGGGTTAAAATATAACTATTGTGAAGAGCATCGGTCATCTACGGCTGCTGATTCATGTGAAATTGATGATACTTTTCATGGGTTTAGGTTGTTCAGGTTCAAATTTTGTTGTTTTCTTTGCATCTTCTGGTCAGGTCTTAAGTTTTAGACCTGATGTGTTTTCCTCAAAGTGAGCAATTTCTTGATGTTAGGTTATGTAAAATATAATTATTTTTAACACTAGCTGTCTTGCACTGAGGTAGGGTGACCTGATACAGAGGAAAACTTCACTGTCACTCACTCATTGTCTTAACAGAAATGTGCTGACAGTACAATTCAGATGACTCCAAACTGCAATATCCCCACTCTCTTCAGAGTGCAGGACCTGTACTTGCCACCTCCAGGTTTCCAATGAATCCATTCATAAATATTACCTCCCTCACACTCACCAGCATGTCATATCATACAAACCACTTAGCTTCACTCACTTTCATCTAACACACTCATACAAGTCTGTTGGATAGCCAAGATAGAGTATTCAGTAAGTCAGTGGGTGCTTCCTTAGCTGCTGTTACAAGACCTTCCCTTGATCAGCTTTAATTGCCTCCCATTCCTCCTGACACTAAGACCTCATTAATGGTATGACAGATATGATATCAGAATTCTTTTCTGCATATATTATTAATGATAATACTAATGTAAGACCCCAGCAGGTTTAGCACTTCCCCATGAATATAATACGTACTGTAATTACTTTTAAAGTATTGCCACTGATACCATCACCACCATTGTTGCAACTAAATCAGTCTGCTCCTCACCACCTTCACCAGCTACCTCTATTTATGAGTGTCCACCATGATTAACATATACAACTGTTTATATCATTTGTATATCACAAATGTAGACAAGCTCCATGGACAAGAATCTTTCCTCTGTAAGCCATGCATGTCTTAAGAGGTGACTAAAAATGCCAGGAACAAGGGGCTAGTAACCCTTTCTCCTGTATAACTTAGTATAAAAATAAAAGCTTTCATTTTTCTTTTTAGGTCACCCTGCCTTCGTGGGAGGCACCCGGTGCATTAAAAAAAAAATGTAGACCAACTACTGCATTTACCTGGAACCATCTTGATGGATAGATAGTTCAGTGAAGTGCCTACATGTAAAATATGTATTAGGTACAGTACTATATGGTAATGCAATAGTAATTCTGAATTTTCTCTTGCAGAATCATGGGACGCCTCTGGAAGACCTGGCTGGCTCTCGGTCGGCTGGGTGTCTCAAGGTGTTTATTCAGAGAGATTATTCTGAAGGAACCTCTGTCAGATTTCAGACAAAGTTTCCACCTGAACTAGAGGGAAAGGTTAGTAAGGTTTATTCTTTTTAGATTCCTAGACACTCTTCCACACACACAGTAGTACACAACTGACAATTGTGTCCAACATGCTGGTACACAATTTTTTGTACCTTCATATCTGTCACCTGAATATTTTTTGACCTTGGCACAACTTTTAGGTCTTTTGTAATGTCTTCATACCTTTGAAAAATCTAAGGCCAGGAGGGTCCACACAGTGCATCTAGGTTAACTACACAGGTGACTATCCAGTGTATTAGTATGCCCAACTAGCGTAAGTAAACAATGAAATCAGGAGCTGTTGTTCCACCACCAGTTTTCCAACTAGCAAACAGGGTGTGCAAGTGGCACAAAGATGGCTTATTCATTCCAGATTTATTACTAGCAGTGGAATTAAGCCACAATGCATACTTAGTAGATTTAATTCTGGATAACCCTATAGATTCAAATAACATGACTTATTTCCATGTTTTGATGAGTACATATTACACCTTGAAACAGTTGTAATACCACCACCACCACCACACTCCCATCTGCTGCCTTCACTAGTACTACAACTGCCTCTATTTTGTGCCCTCCACCAACACTAACTAACTCTACCTTTATTTCCACTGCTATTACTACTACCATTTCCTTCTTTCCCCCACCCTTTCCCCTTTGTGTATTTTCTGGTCTTGAAAATGAATGAAAATGATGTTTATTTCCTTGCAAAGTTTACAGTGTGTGATTTTACATGTTACAAAATATTAATTTCAAAGAAAGCCACTAGCATGCCTAGGCATTTCGTGCAGACTAATCTTAATTCTTACTGACTACTTTATATTGACACAGGTTATGGAACAGTACATTTTGATGTTTATTAATGCATATTGATATAAAAGCTAGGTAATTATAAAGTTTATCATTATTAAGATTGATAACAGGTAGTTGAAAACATGTAACAGTATTACTATTAGTAAATTTAATAATGGGAATGGTTTTATCTCTGCATGATACACTGTTTCCATAAGAGCTTCTATATTGGCAGAGTATTTCAGACAAGTTTAGGACTAACTTAAGATTAATTAGGCAATAACTTAGGCCTTAGACAGGGATGTGTAATGTCACCATGGTTGTGCTTTAGGGAGATTCTGAAGAGAAGTTGCAGAGGTTGGTGGATGAATTTGATAGGGTATGTAAAAGAAGGAAATTAAAAGTGAATATAGGAAAAAATAAGGTGATGAGGATAAAAAAATTAGGTAGTGAAAGATTGGATATCAGATTGGAGGGAGGGAATATGGAGGAGGAGAATGTATTCAGATATTTGGGAGTGGACATGCCAGCAGTTGAGATGAATCATAGAATTGACGAGGGGAAAAAGGTAAGTGGTGCACTGAGGAGTCTGTGGAGACAAAAAACTTTGTCCAGGAAAGCAAAGAGGGGAATGTATGAGAGTATAGTTATAAAAAAACTCTTATATGGGTGTGAAGCATGGGTGGTGAATGTTGCAACAAGGAGAGGGCTGAAGGCAGTGGAGATGTCATGTCTGAGGGCAGTGTGCGGTGTGAATATAATGCAGAGAATCCATAGTTTGGAGATTAGGAGGAGGTGCGGGATTACCAAAACTATTACCCAGAGGGCTGAGGAGGGGTTATTGGGGTGGTTCGGACATGTAGAGAGGATGGAATGAACTAAAGATTATAGTACCAGTGTCAGAAATAAAGGAAATGCAGTTACTAGGGAAACAAGGTTCAAAACAAAGTGTTATGCTTAGATTTCACACACATGACAGGAAAAAAGAGCTAATCAGTGCATCAATTCATGCAAAAAAATTTTGTATACATAAATGAGTGTCTGATAAAAAAAGTCAGAACCTCCTGTTCAGAGTAAGAAACCTTAAACAAGAGAATAAAGTTAAAATTCACCAGTGCTTCACTCAGGATGGGAAAATTCTAGTAAGGAAAACAAACACACGCAGTGTGTTTACCATCACAAATGAAAATGAACTGTCCAGCCTCCTTCGACATGTTAATCTTACAGAGACTGACTAACTGCAGTGTCCAAATCATTTTACTACATCTAGTGTATGTTATTACTTCATTACTCTACTAGTCCTAGTACTATCATTACCAGATAGTATCAACTACCTCACTGTCACACGTTTATTACGTAATTGATTGTATGACATATTTTTTGTACTACCATTCTAGAAATTGCCTTGTAGAATCATTTACTCATTATAAAAGTATCATACCTCACAGCCTCCCTTCCAAACTCCCAAGTGCAGGCAACTACCATCTTTAGTATTTACATTTTTTACTTTAAGTACTTGTATTTTTAAACACCAAATTTTACTATCTTCTAATTTCCAGATCTGTTGAATCCCAGTATTGCTATCTGCCATACAATTTTTATTCAGTAAGCTTCTGACTTACATTAATATATATATTCACAAACCTCTTAAAATTTCTTGTCAAAATTATTCTCGCTTATTATTTTTACTGTTCCCTCCCCTTACTTTCAAATAGTATTTTCAATTTTGAGTTCTGTATATCCATTCTTTCATTTCTTAGATAGATCCTTGATACTTTTACTTTTTACTGCCTTTTGTGAGCTCTTTATATTAGCACCAGTGCAATATTAAGTCCTTACTGTGTGCAGTTGTTTTATACAAGTTGTCTAAGTCATTATATCAGTCTTCCTTAATATTTAATAGTATATTTTTATTATTAGTAGAACATACATTCTTCATTTGTCATATGAATGTTAACATTGATCCTGATATAAGCTTATTATTAAATGCCATAAACAACCCTAACAATAATTGTCTTTACTACACTGCTCGTCAGGCCAAGACACTACTCAGTACCAACAATAATATAACAGTATTCAGTTATAATGTCAGGTCATTGAGTAAACACTATGATGACCTCCTAGCATTACGCAGTTCCTCGCAGGCAAGCATGTCAATCATTACTCTCACTGAGACCTGGTATAAACATGACGTTGCAAGCATCTTTAGTATACCAGGTTACATAGCTATACCTTTGATATACCTTTGAAGAGTTTCGAGAAAGTATCTACTCTCTGAGCCCGGCCATGGGCCAGGCTCGTCTGGTGCTTGCCTGGTCAACTAGGCTGTTGCTGATGGAGGCCCGCTGCACCATGTATCCACAACCTGGTTGATCTGGCACTGGTAAGGATACTTGTACAGTTTCCTCTTGAAGGCTTCTACACTTGTTCCAGCCATGTTTCTGATATCTTTTGGCAGGATGTTGAATAATCTGGGACCTCTAATGTCAATACAGTGTTCCCATATTGTCCCCACCTCACCCCTGCTCCTCACTGGGTTTATTTTACACTTCCTCCTATATCTCTCACTCCAGTACGTTGTTATGGCAATGTGCAGATTTGGGACCAGGCCTCTCTCCTCCGCTCCAATGAATACAAGTTCAAGGCTCGCAGGCGTTCCCAGTAGTTTGGGTGCTTTACTGGCTCAATGTGAGCCGTAAACGATCTCTGTATTTGTTTCAGCTCCGATATTTCTCCTGCTTTGAACAGGGCCATTGCCACTGATCAGTATTCTAAGTGAGAGAGCACTAGCGATTTGAAGAGTGTCATCATCGACATTATTTCCCGTGTTTTGAAAGTTGTCAATACCCACCCTGTCTTCTTTGTGGCTGTTGTGATCTTTGTCTTGTTATGGTCTTTAAAAGACAAGTCCGCTCACATAATTATTCCTAGGTCTTTTACGTGTTCCTTACGTTCTGTTTGGTGACCCTCTTGAGTTTTGTATATAGTGTTCCTTTTGAGTTCTTCATTCTTTCCATACCTAAGCAGCTGGAACTTATCACCATTGAACGTCATGCACAATTGTAGGCCTGATCAAATAGGAGGTGGCACAGCAATCTACTGCTATGATGAATTTGAATGCATCAAGTGTACCTGCACCAGGGATGAAAATGGTGAATGTACATTTGGGAAATCCAAGTTCAAAAACATTAAAAAACTCATAGCAGTTGGAGCTATCTACAGAGTACCTCAAATATTTACACATTTAACGAAACCCTAAGAAACATAACTGACGCAAAGATGAATAAACACCACCTGATACTTACAGGTGACTTCAACATTAACCTCATCCATGAACACGAACCACAAGTAACTGAATCCACTAACACTATAAGCAACTGCTTACTCCTACCATCTATAACTAAACCAACAAGAATCGCTGAGACAAGTGCCTCACTACTTGACCATATCTGGACGAACACTGTATCCCCACTAAGATCAGGCATTATCACAGATAACTCCACTGACCACTATCCCACCTTTCTCATAACAGTCTTACGTAAACTCCCACAGGACACAAGTAAAATCGCATTCTGGCTACATGACAAAACATCTGTAAATAATTTTAGTTCGGCATTAGGTAACATTGACTGGCAAAGTGTGCTTGCACCTAGCCTCGATATTGACGAATGTTTAAAAAGTTTTTTGCAAAAAAAAAAAAAAATCAAAACCTCTATAACAGACGTTGTCCAATAAAAACAAAACAAATCACAGCCAAGAGACTAAACAGCCCCTGGCTTACAAACAGTATTCTCGCTTCAATTAACCCTTAAACGGTCCAAACAGATCGACGTTCAAATTCGTAGTGCTACAAAAGTAGATCTACTTTTTTTTACATATTTTCAAATATAACAAAAAAAAATGTAGATAAAAGTTTGTTTTACACGTTTTCAAATGTAAAACAAAAAAGAAGATCTACATTTTTTTACATACTTTCAGATGCTGAAAAAATGTATATATACGTTTGGACCATTTAAGGGTTAACAAAAAAACATGTATATGAAAAACAGTACAGATTGAGTCAAGTTATGAAAGAACAGACAAAACGATACTTGTTGACACTTACGAATCTAATACAAAGGGCCAAAAAGCTGTATTAAGAAAACAGATGTTGTTGAGGTGGTTCGGACATGTAGAGAGAATGGAACAAAACAGAATGACTTCGAGAATGTATAAAT